AATTAGCATGTAATTAAGAAAAGACTTAGAAAAATAATGAAAAAGAAAAATTACGGAGAAATTATAGTATTGTTACATACACTTTGTTGGAATAATAAAATTTGGATAATAAAGATAAAATGTATTAGTCACTGTATTTTACACAAACATCATGTTAATTTCTTAGATATTTTTAGTGATTCAAAATTATAGTTTTATAGATTTTATTATAACAATTATTCAGATTTATTTTATATCAATAAAAAAATTATAATTAAATATAATTAAATAAAATTTATTAAAACACTTTATATTATTAATAATATAAATAAATTGCAAATTATAAGTATAAATAATTGTTTATTAAACTATTAAACTATCATTAAACCTCAAAAATTATATAAAATGTAATAAACTAAGCCTAAGTATTAGTAATTCTAACTTTAATACTATTTAAAAGGTTTCAGATATCTTTCAAATTTCAAAGATCTTTTAAACTTTAAAGATCTCTTCGATTTAAAGTAAAGTTGGAACTATTATAATGCATGAGGTATTACCAGATGGTAAATCATGCATTATAGGTAGTGGTTTCATTTTACAATCATAACACAAGATGTTTCTTATCATGTATGGTATATTTTAATCAGAACATCTATTGAATGAGGTAAATAAATATATGATTTTGAAAAAGTCTAAACAATCAATATAAACTCCTAATTTCATTAAATATTTGAAAACTATAAAATAATGCATTATCATCATTGTTAACAAAAGTCTTCAGATACATATTATTAATAAATAAATAAATAAAAAATTTATTTGTTATTTGCCATATAAAATTCTATAAAATGTTCAAATATTCAACAAAGAAAAAAACAGAGCCCTTTTATAATGCTTTGTTTGATATTGAAAAAGAAATTCAACCTGATTTTAACAGACAGTCCAGTACTGGCATCAAACAAATAGATGATGATATGTTTGCATTTGATTGGCATTCATATGAAAGAGTAAAGGAAATAATTAAATCTGATGAAGAAATGGATTATAAATTAATTGAAAGTGATGAATCATTTGAGAGTAATGATAATAAGATGAAAATAATTGAAGAGGAGTATGATATGCCACTTCCTTTTGAGGTAGCATGCTCTACAAAATTTACAAATTGTGTTATTATTGATAATGAAATTAGCAATATGTCAATTATAATTTAAAGATGCAATAATGTAGGGGTTTAAAATATAAATTAACTATCAGGCATGTGGGAGGTTGACCCTTAAACTGTAAAAGAAGTTGATAATAAGGTCTCAAGACTAGGCATATGCCTGTGGCAGTACAATTATGATCTAAAGTATTTATACCTGAGTGTAAGAGATGAACTATCAACAAAAGAAAGTATGATTACATCACATCACTGTCTTCTTTGTAATAAAATGAAATACTTTTTTACAAGACATGTTCATTATATACCCAAACAGTTTGTGGACGCATTATTCAAATTCCATGCCATGGATTATATAATTGCCCAGCAATGGCTAATTATGAAAGATTATTAACTGAATTGTTAAAAAATAATAGACCTCACTTTATTTGTATGGACTGCTTCATTATACATAAAGGCCACTTGCATATTCAGCCAGGGATAAAAAAAAAAACAGTTACATGTCTTGACTGAGGAGAACATAATGCAGATGTTACACTTGCCTTAAAGTTATATACTAAATAAATTGAACAGGTTATAGAATCAAATAATGATTCTTTAAAAGTTAACCTATTAAAAGAACTTGTTGAATTGTTTGATAGTATTGCCTCTGATACTCTAAAAATACTATTATTATGCCTCCCACCATTTATTCAGAGTCTATAGTGCCTAGCTTTTTTTTAATTAAAACAGCATTCACTGTCAAAAAAGTTGATATTAGCGAAAAAAAGCAAGCAATACAATTAAAACCTATTATGTGCAACGAATTTGGGAAAACACTTGCTTATTCTGTATAACAAGAACAATTGGAACTCAAATAAAGATTACCTTTACTTGAATATCCTAATTCTCTAGATGAATATCACAATGCTATGCCATTGTCTCTTGTAAACTTCTTTTTTGGCCTTATTTCAACTCTAATAGAAAATAAAAATAAGGTATTAGCTAGAAAACGAAAAGACCAAGACTTGCCACTACCACAATTAGATGAAAAAAAAATCAAAATGCATTTACTTTTCTTCTCTTTGGTTCTACTTATTATTGTCTTTCCTAATTGGAAAATATAGTTTACCCATATGCTTTCTTCTTTTTGCCAAAGACCAAGAATAATCAATATTTGCATAAAATTCTTCATGCTATTCAGGTTGTGGCACATAATAGAGACCATGAAGCAAATATTCAAAAAAAATAGATGTCAGCTATAGATCCTTGTTCAAGGCTTCTTGATCTAAATACAAATCTGAATGTTTTAAATTTTGCAGTTATAGATAACATCAATATGAAAGACAAGACTTTTAAATATGCTAATATTTACAAAATAGTTTGTGCTACTGCATATGCAACATTGCAGATAGTTTTTCAATTTGAGCATCCAGAGCTTTCAAACTTCAAACAATTTGAAATTCAAGATCTTTTTGGATATAAGCCCTATGATAAAAGTGTAGAATATAAAAATAGATGAGATTTTTATTCAATTAGTTAATCAAGAACAACTATTTAGTAGTGAACAAGTAAATGCAGCACTTAAAGAAAATGTTAAATTAGTATTATTAACACTTCTGAACATTGTAAGCAACAATAAGAATGTTCATCAAGCTGTAGATATGTATATAGAAGACTTTAGTTATACTAAGAATGGTGTGTTAAATTTGATGTGCAATGAAGCAATATATCATTATATAAAAAATTACAAGAATGAAGAACAAGAAGTGTGTTGCATTCTAGAACAATAGTATACAAATAAAACAATGTGCAATGCATTAATTATCACTTTTTCAGAATACAGAATTTTTGGACTTGTGGTGCAGCTTGGTGTTAAGTTTTTGATAAACTTGAAAAAAATGTTGACTATTGATTAACATTCCAGATACTAGAGCTTATTTGGATAGCTGTTGGAGTTGTAATTAATCTATATGCAAAAGAAAATAATATTTTAATTGAAGATATTCCTGCAAGAGACAATAAATTATTAAAAGTTTGGTATAATTTTTACCAGTAGACAGAATATCTAAAATTGCACAAACTCAGAATTTGGATGGCAAATTTTGACTTGTAAATGCATAACTTGATGGCATTTGCTTCTTTACTTCCAATAACAAAAAGAGCAAGCTATGCTGAGTCTGTAGCACAATTTTTAACATATCTTAAATGCAAACTACAGTTACTTCAAGATCTTCAGGCAGCACCTTCAATAAATATAACTTTAGAAAAGAGTTCTCTTGCTCATGATGAGGCCTTAGAAACACTTGTAAGATACATAAAGAAAAATATAGTTGAATATAAAGTTGATTTGAAAATCTAAAATGAAATATTAAATTAACACAAACAGAAGATAAATGATTTGACTTCTTAATTTCAAAGTTCAATGAGATCGATCAGTAGGTAAGAACCCATGATCTATTAAAGATCGTCAAGAAGCACTCTGGAAATTAATTGATGAACTTAAAACAGGATTAAATAACCCACAACTAGAATCACATGCATTATTTACAGAAACAACACAGTTGACAATAGTTGGCTATCAATGAATGTTTTACTGTTACCAATTAGGAATTGACAAAATGAATAAGGTCACTGTACAAATTATTCGTAATATAGCTGTTAAAGTGAGAATAAAATGTGATAAGCTGAACCTAATACCTATGAAAGTAACAAAAAAAATAAGCATGAAAAAAATACTAACTAATCAGAGTCAATAAATGTAGAATTATATAACATAGAAGTTGATGAAATAAAACAAGACTTACAATCAACCCATTGCCTGAAACTAATCCACCTTCTGAAACCAACCCATCTTCTAAAAGTAATCTATATTTTGAAACTAATTTACTTTTTGAAACCAATTCGTCTTCTGTATCCAAGTCTTAAAAACTGCGTATAACACATAAAAACTATACCTGAAGAAGAAAACATCTTAAAACATCTTAAGAAATATAAAAACTCTACTGTGTTGCCTAAAAAGTTTGTCAATAAGCTATTAAAAGAGCTGTCACCATATAAATATTGGATACCAAAATGAATTCGAGATCAGTAGTATAACTGATATAAAAGATCTAAAAAAGTTACCTTAGATTCATAAATTATGTAAATGCTAAACAAAAAAAAACCACAATAATAATAAAAGAACAATTACTATAAATGTATTTATAAATTTGCAATATGATTTTTACTACTGTAAAAGAAAAAAAATACTTATTAGCAAAAATCAAAATCTATATATTAAAAATGTGGTTCTTAAATTTCTTTATATTTTTTATAAGACACCCTTCTTTTAAAGATGCATTTCAAGGAAAGTTCTTGCTCATGTGCATCTAACAAGATATTTTTTATATTAAGATCTTGAAAACTCTAAAAGAATCATGCAAAAGAAGGCAAAATAATTGCTTATATTTGAAGGGATAGCACATTACTAGGTGATGTTAGTTTTTCATATTCTTTATACTGTTTGATTCATTAAAGTGCTGGCAACTTATTTTTTTTAGAAATGTTATATGTTATGACTAAAACTTTGGGTAAAAATTTAAAAAATGTGATTTCATTGATTTGTGTAATTTTTGAAAATCATATGATAAAAAATTAGGTGTGACATCCCAATCAACTGTTATTGAACCTAGCTGCTATGCAAAAAATGCGCAGTGTAGGACATGAACAGACCTCAGTTATTTGGTGTAGACTATTATTTAATTAGGGAAGAAGTTGATCATGACCAATCAGTCACATGTGACACATTTGATGAATATGACAGATATTAGTAATCAATCAGAAAGATATTTTTGGGAATATCAGTAGGATATAGCACATTGATAGCATCAGTAATATTAGTCATATCCTTTTGCAGAATGTAAATAGAGTTTTTACAATTATAAATAAAGGCCAAAAAGGCTCTTTGGAAAAAGACAACTTCTCTTTTGCAACTAATACATAACCTATATAATACATAATCACTTATAATAAACTGCTTGTTGATAATAATAAATAGATATCTTTATTAAATACAATCATTGCTATATAATCTGTTCCAACTTGTAATTACAGAACATATGTTAGTATATTTGATCAACACTGACCCAAAACCTTCTTTACTAGTAGAATCCAACTATTACAAAGTGAACCATTTGAAAAATCTAACATGCCTCTTTCGACCCAAATTGACTCTCCCAAGTAGTTGCATGAGAGACTCTAGTGTGGTGCAACTGACTTGCCATTTTACATTAACATCAGCAATTGGGCCTATAGTTGGTAGTAGAATTCTTAAGTTAGACATTGCGAAATTTTACAAAAGGGTAGAATTAATTAGGCAAATAATAGACATGTGCTGATGTCATATTGATTTGCCAAATTAATTTTACCACCAATTATAATTTGGCCCACATTAAGTATTTTAGAAGATGCCTAAAGCCATGTATCTATGTGATTCTTATTGATCTATTTTAGGTTGGTTTTTATGCAGAATTTACTTATTTGTTCCAGTAATACAACCCAAAAAAGGAAATTTGATTTTGTAAAAATGAATAAAACAAATTTAGAGTTAGAATGTTAATATTAGAAGCTATAGCCATAGACTGTTGCCTATTATATATAAAATTTCTTTCTCAATATTTTTAATTTTTTATATTTTCTTTTTTTTGATCAAAATTTGAACTCACTGATTAGCTATTTCCTTTTTAGAAATTTATATTACCATGATTAGTCAATTAATCGACTAATTGAATAATAGATTAGTCAATAGATTTTCAGTCAGTTAACACTAACAGTTTTAGTCAAATGACTAATCAACTAAAAATTTCTGCCTGATTCCAAACCTTATTATAAAGTATTCATGATATACTTACTAACTAATATGAATTTTTAATTTATTCAAGAAATCTTCACATTTTCTTGGCATATTAATTTTGTCAATTACAGAGAATGTACCTAATCTTAACTAAAATTTCACATTTGCTTCTTTTAAGTATATACATAATTATTTGTTAATTATATTATTATTTTGAGTGAATACATTCTTGATGAAATGTTAAAAATTGATCAAAAAACAATTAAATAGATGCAATTAGTCTACTCAAAAATTACCCACAACTTGTCTAATTCTCAAGGCTTTATCTTGAATTATAGCAAAAAATTGAAGTAGAACACAAATCTTTCAAATATAAAATAATGACTGTTTATACAAAAGTATCCTTTATAAGATCAGATTGTTTGGAACTAATTAAGTAATTTATACTGTATTAGTTTGAGTGAAATTTGTATTTATAAAATTTTATGAATACTATAAATGTTTTACATCATTTTTCAATTCATGTCACTTCAAAATTGACATATGTCATTTGTAAATTTAAAAATGACATATGTTATTTCTCAATCGGTATAGATAGTAGTTTTTGTAAATTAAAATTTTCATATACAGTATAATGAAAAAGCTTTAAATTTGCATATTTAATAAAAAATCTTAAATTATATATAATAATCTTATTTAATTTGCAAATTATTAGAAAACTAAAAAATATTTAAAGTTATTTATTTTTGCATTGACTATACAATACACATCTTCAATGCTTGTGCATAGTTTATTGTTTCTTCGACATAAGCATGCTTTAGTTCCACAATTAGTTTTTCAGCAATGACAATGATTAAAATACTTTTGTTGAGTTGTAGCATTGGCCTGATTCTTTGCCTGATTATAAAAAAGATTCATTGTATCTGTATTATCATTATTGCTAAGCCATATTAAAAAAATAAATTAAAATAGAAGTTAATAATAAATAATTTATTAAATTTATAATGAAAATTATTTACTCAAAATTTATATTTATAACTTTAATATCTTTAATAAATTCATTATTAGTTGTAACAATGGATTAACTAAGTTGGGTAGCTTGTTGTATAGATGGTGATAATTATAAATTATTTTGTCTAAAACTTGCTTGCCTTAAAGAAATTGTATTATTTAAAGAAATTACATCAAGTACTAGGTAATCTAAAGTATTCAATAGCTCAAGTTCATTTGTTGAATACTAATTTTCAAGTATTCTAAATTGGCAAACTATTTGGTAAGCATCATGATTTGGTTTTTTTTTGGAGAATTTTACAAGATAATGATCACCAATCCATTTTTAGTTTATTAAAATCAGGAACACAAATCTTAACAAGCTCACCAGATTCAAATATACATTCATGTTTAGTTTTGTATTGTTTTTGCATTTTGTTACAAATATATTTATAATTTTTTTTTGATATTCAAGATAGCTGATTGTTGAATTGATTCATGTTGTATTTGATATATCATATAATAGTGTTCATGACTATAAAAAATCATTATATAGATTTATAATTTAATAATAAAAAAAGTTAATTAAATAACTTACTTCATCAAATATTTCAATAGAACTAGCACACTATTTTTGTTTTTTCTGTAATGTATAATGTTGACTTTCTACTATATCTATAGACTCAAGTAATGAATCGTAATTATTGATTTTAATAATTTCTTGTGGTGTTATTGAATAAACTTAAATTATATTTAAATTATTATTATCATCATTGCCAATATACTATTAGCAGTTATGAAAGTCATTTCTGAATCTGTTTCTTTAAAGACAATGAACAATTAGTATTGTTCAGCTCATAAAACTATTTCTTACAACTTAGTTTTTGGACAGTATCTTCATAGTAATACAAATTTTGTTGACATTTTATAAAATACTCTAAATGATCAACAATATGAAGAACTAAATTCATTATTTGATGACTTGCCTGAAATATAAAATTAATTAAAAATAAATAAAAAAATTATAATAATAATAACAAATTAAATATTAACAAACTACAAATTTCAATTCAACACTCCAATCTGTCCTATGAGTTTCTTCTATCTAAGACCCTAACTTTACTTATAGAATATTATTACTCTTCTTAACAAGACCCTGGCATCTAGAATTTCTATGGATCATTTTGATATTTGGTCATAACTTTAGTGTCTCTTAAACAAGTTGTCATATAAATTCTTCAGCATTATCTGAGTGAAGTACAGTAGGTAAACTATATATTAGACAGAAATTAAACAAAAATACAGTAGCATTTTAAGCCAATTTAGTCTGTAAAGGCTCAGTATATAAAAAATAAGTAAAATGATCTCTTATATAAAATATATATTTGAAACTTCCATCTGGTATCAAGGTTATATTAATTATATCAATCTTATATAAATAAAAAAAAATTTATTTATATATAAAAATTATTAAATTTATACAGAAATAAAATTTTTATATACATGTATATGCATTAAAAATCCTTCTGCAATAATTGGTCATATAGGTGGAACTTTTTTAAATAATTGCTGAGTAATACATATATTATATTCATAAACTGCATCTTTTACTACTTGCTGTGAAATATAGCAGTATCTTAATTAAATCTAATAAATAATGTTTAATTAAATAAAATTAAAATTAAAATTAAAATTAATTATAAAATATATTTGTCTTCTTCCACATTTTTCTTGGCCTTCATGTTCAGTGGCTTGATAAACTGCACAGATTATTTTATTAAACTTTCTTTGAGACACACTTGAGTATTCAAATTAAATTCATTTTGTTTAAGCAAGTAAAGTTCTTCAACTGTATTAAGTTGAATTCTTTTAAAAGTATGAAGAACCCAATGCTTTAAAGATGGATTATGTTGTAGGTTTGGATTTTGTAATATATTTTATATCAATTTCTATCTATTAGACAATGATTATTCTTTCTCTTGCTAATATAAGTCTCAAAATTTGTTCAAAGAAGTCTTGTGCAAGAAAACTATAATTACACAA